AGGAAAAGAATTTAAAAACAGATGCGGAGGAAGAAGAAAAAAAAGCCAAATTTCTTCGTCATCAGAATAATCTGAATCGGAGAAAGGAGAGGCCACTCCCAAATTGCAGAAAACGAAGAAATCTAAGAAGAAAAGACTCTAAAACTAAAGCATGAGTGCTAAGGGCAGTAATTGTGCCAAACTAATAACTTTAAACTTTTTATAATCGAACTAATCTCCATATAACCTATACTAATAGGTTTAAAAGGTCTGTTTTTAAGCTTTTTTAGAGCGTAATTTGTATTAGTCTTTACCCCTTCCCCATATCCAGTAGGAGATTTAGAATAGAATGGTAGTTTTTCCTCCCCTTATCCAGTAGGTTATATGTATTTAGACTTCCCTGACCCATTTCCCATAGCAATAGTGATAGGGTATTAGTACTCCTTTTCCCCATTCCAAATATATGTAGTGTACAGAAAATGGAAAAAAAAAATCCCCTTCGGGGGGCCAAAAAAAGAAAAAGAAAAAGAACCACCTTGCATGCATCTAACCACATCTCCGTATACCCAATACCTATCAACCCTTTCTAGCAGTAGCTCTCCATGGTCCTAGACAGAGATCTTTCTTAGCTCTGTTTGAGAACTTCTTAGGGCCAAATAACATGGTATCCCCCCCCCTTCTTCCTGTGATGCATACTTCTCCAGCTACTTTAAACCCCACTAAACAAAAAACGGGTACTTCCGTACTGCCAGTCTTTTTTTAAATCTACTATAGCCATTTTTATCAGGGTCCTGGCACAGACAAAAAATTTAAACCACCCCTTCTCCAGAGACATAGCCCTAGTCCTTATTTCTCTTCCCCCGTTGCAGCTTTTTTAGAGCCAGATAACTCATCTGGCATTCCAGTCATGAAACACCTGTGGAGATAATAGTCAGGGCAACTTATAAAATTCCTGCCACTTAGCTTAAGAACTAGCTATGTGAGAGTTCCAACTGAGTGGAGGAACTCCCCTCTTCACCCACCCAGTCGTGCGATGAGTTTAATATTACTGTGCCCTTGCCTAAATTTCCAGGAGTAACATACTGATTGAGCTCATGGCCAGATTCTACAGAAGAATATACCTCCACTCCATAACAGCTTCAGCAGGGACTCTCTGATTATCCATTTTCACCATCAAAGGGTGGCAAACAAGCAGTCCTCTAAGGGTGATAAACAAGCAGCCAGTTTGGTGTAGTGGTTAAGAGTGGCGGACTCTAATCTGGAGAAGCGGGCTTGATTCCTCATTCCTCCACATACAGCCAGCTGGGTGACCTTGGGCCACTCACTGTTCTCTCAGAGCTGTTCTCTCAAGAGCAGTTCTCTCAGAGCTCTCTCAGCCCCACCTACCCAATCACGGGGTGCCTGTTCTGGGGAGAGGAAGGGAAGGAGATTGTAAGCTGCTCTGAGCCTCTGAGTGAATGGCAGGGTATAAATCCAACTCTTCATCTTCTCTTCCTTACAAATAGCTATAGGGGGGGAAATACCCATACCAACAAACCCAGAGAATCAATTACTGAATTACTGAATCATGGTTTGCCCCACATTAGCCTAAACATAAGGCACTGCATTTAATTCAGCAACTGTTTAAAAATAAAGAGCCAGAAGCAATAGTGGCATGGCATGAGCCATGGAAGCCAACACTGAGCATGTTTGTATTGCAGAAGACCAGAATGTAAACAATCCCTCTTGTCTATTCTGGGAAAGCAGACACTGGCCTCACTGAAATGATTAAATAATGTGTCTGCAACCTCATTCTAGATAATGCAGTTTGCTTCCGCGACCTTGAGTCAGTTTTATTTCTATGCACATCTAATCGAAATTTATAAGCAATCTGCAACACAATATCTCACTGAAAAGTCTTGAGTAATTGACTGTTATTGGCAACCCTCGCAGGAAAGAAATGTGCTAAGAATGGGACTGACGCCATCAGATACCCAAAGGCTGGAATGGAATCTTGCCAATCAAGAACCCTTTCCTACAAGCTGCCTTCCTGGAAGGGGGGGGGCAAGCTCCACCATCTCTTCTGCAGAAGTGCATTACTTTGGTTATCAGGCAAATAAATGACTTGCCTCTGAAAAGCAATGGCATAAAGACAGCCTGTTCCAATTAGACATCGTGCTTGCTCAATTAGCTTTTAACAAAGGCAACTTTTGGTTTCTGCTGATCGAATGACAGGGCCCTAACACCTCAGGACTTGATTATCCTTTATGTTTTGCTTATAAACATCTCTGGCCAATGCTACAATGGACCAAGGTGGTGGTTCCCAAAGAGGGGATTGGGTCCACTGATGCCTTGTTGAACCCACTCATGGGTGCGGCTCGCAAGGCTGACAAATGCAAGAGAGGACAGCTTTTATGTTAATAAAGGGGGGGAAAGGGGGGGAAGCATATCACTTCTTGTTCCATGACAAAAAGAATAATAAATCACAACAAGCAGTATGGAAGAAGGGGGTGCAATTTTAAAATGGCACCTTGGCAACGCTAATTAAATATTACATCAGAGGTTGAGAACCACACGTGGCTCTTGGATGTGCCACAGTGTAGCTCTTCTGAGCTCCATCCCTCAATGTGACACCCACCCTGTGTTCCAGGAAAGAGGATAATTGCTTGATGTGGCTTGTGGCTGGCAGGTGGTTCACACCTTTGAAACAACCGCTAATGGAGGGACTGGAGGACCGGTAGATTGTGAGCCTCATGCGAGGGACGGAAGCAGAGGGCCCATCCTCTCCAACGACACCCCCCCTCTCCCTCTCAGCAGACTCTCCACTCTCATCCCAGAAACCAGTTGGGCTACCAGATGGAGAGAGAGCTGGCCACAGAGAAGAGACAGTAAAACCGCTACCTAAGGCCCCGGTCACACGTAAAGGTTTTGGCCCGGGAGAGGGACGGATTGGGGGCGCAGCAAACGGGCGCGATCTCACCGCAACATCTGGGAAGCGGTGCGCACCTGTCCCCGATCCATCCCAACCTAGAAACCAGTTAGGCTACCAGATGGAGAGAGAGCCTGGCCACAGAGAAGAGACAGTAAAACCGCTACCAGAGTAGCCTTTGGGGAAAAGAGCAAGCTAGCTACAATGAGGTGCAGATGATTTAACTTCCCTTGCTTCTTGGCCAGCTTGGTCTTCTCTGGGCACCCCACTGTTGCTTTCCCCGGCATCTGATCATGCCGGGGAGGGAATGCGCCATGGCTCAGGGGATCAATGTGATCCCGCCGCCGCGTGTTACTTTTGGTGCGGCTTTATAAAGCCGCACTTTCGCCCGTTCCTTTCCCCCCCGTGTGGCAGGGACCAGAGTAGCCTTCGGGGAAAAGAGCAAGCTATCTACAACGAGGTGGGGATGATTTAACTTCCCTTGCTTCTTAGCCAGCTTGGTCTTCTCTGGGCATCTTGGCAATCTCACTCGCTCATCTCAGTCACGGTGCCTCCTACTGAGGAAGAACCAGTTGGCATAGAGGGAAACATTCTCTCCAGAGTCACAAAGGCTAGCCGAGGTTCAACAGCAGTAGGGAGAAAAAAACCCTACATGCGCAGATGTACTCCGGCAATGTAAAAGGTTGTGGCTGCATATTTAGCAGTAATAGTTCTAGCTTATATTGTATGTGTATGACTGTTGGGGTGGTACAGTAGTCACATGACTCTTTTGATTGGTGGCCATTGTAAACACGGCTCTCTGCAAGCCACAGGCTGAGTGGTGGCAGAAAGTGCTGTCAAGCTGCAGCCTGGTTATGGTGACCCTGTAGGTTTTTCAAGGCAAGATATGAACAGAGGTGGTTTGCCATTGCCCGGCTCTGCATCATGACCCTGGACACCCCTGGTGGTCTCCCATTCAAGTTTTAACCAGGGCCGACCCTGCTTAGCTTTTGAGATCTGATGAGATCGGGCTAGCCTGGGCCATCCCGGTCAGAGGGCAAACTGAGCACGGCTACATTAAATTAATCCATTAAAACCCATTCAATTAATGGACTACAGGGGTAATCCTAAAGACACATTCCTGGGAGTAAGCCCCGCTGAATAACATGGAAATTACTTCCAAGTAGACCAGCTTAGGACTGATCCCTGTGCTTCCTTTAATCATGGGAAAGCCCTAGGTATAACTGAAAGAATAAGGAATGTTAAATAAACAATGTATCATTTAAAAAAAATGAATTTAAGAATTTAAGTAAAGGGTCTTTTCGGTCGAAAAGAGACATTTGCATTGATTATCTCCAACTAATATACATTTTCTATAGAAAATGTTTCAAATGCAAATTGGGAACGTTAATTTTAAATTGGTGTTTTAGTTTTTTAATTAATTAATCCGTTAATCTGTTACAAGGTGGGTGGGAAATCCAAACACGTGAGCATGCCTGTTCCATGTTGCAGTATTTCATCCAAACTACTTCTGTGCGCCTTGGTGTTTAGTCATGCCGGCTACATGACCACGGAAACGTCTTCGGACAGTGCTGGCTCTTCGGCTTTGAAACGGAGATGAGCACCGCAACCCTAGAGTCGGACTCGACTGGCTTTCGAGCAAGGGAACCTTTACCTTTACTGTGTTGTTCATTCCCAGGACTGGGCCTACTGTTAGGCCACGTGAAGTAGCCCACTTCAGCCAGCAGATTCCATGGCAGAAATAAAGGGCCACAAACGACTAACGACATAGTTCACTACTGCACTTTCACACTCCATTGCTGAACAGGACTGCCAGCTCTGGGATGGGAAATAGCTGGAGATCTGGGGAGCAGAGCGAGGGGGGGTGAAGTCTGGGGAAGGGAAGGACCTAAGCAAGGTCCAAGGCCATAGAGTCCATCCTCCAAAGCAGCCATTTCCTCCAGGGAAACCGATCTTGGTCATCTGGAGATCAATTGTAATGGCAGGACATCTCCAGGCAACACTATTGATGGACAAGGACTACTTGGATTTTCTACATTGCACCACAATACCTAATCTCTACCATTCCCTGTCTTCCCCCCACTTTTCTTTTCAAATTATCCCAAGCCAGCACCTGCAATCTCTTCTATGCTGTTTGCACACATATCCAGAAGAACAATCCCGTTGATGATGCAGCTCCTCAGCTCAAAGAGACTGTGTAAAGAGAGCGTAGCCACATACGGTTTGCTCCAACGCTCCCCTCCATCTTCTACATCTTCCTCAAACTTCACCCACCTGCAGGGGATGCACGGTGACATAAAAACAAATTAACAGGAGTACAACATTGCCTAAGCAGTACAACCATGATTCATACTTTTCTGGAATACTTGCAACAGCTCTGCTACATTAAGGATTGCAAGTGTTTCGTTTACTTTTAACAAGACAAACTGAGGGTTATTTTATGTGAAATGTTAACGAGCTGTAGTTGCCATTTGGATAGAGCAAAAAAACCCAGATGTGATTATTCCTCATGAGCCTCAGTATCTATGGTTCACTCACTGTATCTGGTTCACTCACTGGTTCTGCATACTGAGCGACTATTAGTAAAATGATCCCATGAACTAGCTCTGCATACAAAATCTGCCAACCACTTTGCCCTAAAAAGGGCATATCATAACAGAGCCAGCATTGTGTAGTAGAAAAGAGTAAGATTCCAGTGGCACCTTAAAGACTAACAAAATTTGTAGTAGGGCAGTGGTAGGCCACTGCTCACTTCTTCAGATACAGCTAGAATGTGAGTGTCCTAGACATTGGAAAGTGGAGTGATTTCAGATGCCAAATGACATTAGCAGGCAAATGACAATAGCAGATGTGATTGGATTAGATGGCATGGAGAAATCAGTATTGGTAATGAGACAGGAAACCTAGGTCTCAATTCATTCCAGGTGGATGCATTGTCTTGAGCTTTGTTATCAGCTGCAATTCAGCAGTCTCTCTTTCTCATCACCACAAATTTTGTTAGTCTTTAAGGTGCAACTTGAATCTTACCCTTTTCTACTGCTACAGACAGACTAACACAGCTATCCAACTTGATCTATCAGCATGGTGCAGTGGTTAGAGTGTCAGACTAGGAACTCAGACAGCCAAGTTCAAGTCCCCACTCTGCCATGGTGGCTTGCTGGGTGGCCTTGGGCTAGTCACATGTTCTAAGCCTAACGTACCTCACAGGGTTGTTGTGAGGATAAAAAGAAGAAAGAGAGAATGTTTCAGTTGACTTTGGGTCTCCACTAGGGAGAAAAGTTGGTTATGAATGAAACAAATAAATACATATTACAAATAATATAAAGGTATTTTTTTAAAAAACAGTCACAGCCAATGCTCCTTTATGCATTCATTTGTTTGTTTGTAAATCTAAAATGACAGCCCTAATAAGCAAAGCAAAAGTTACTGCAGCTCATTCACAAACTCCTTGCTCGGCTGGATGCTTGTGTACAGCCTGTTACCTGACAAATGTTTGCATGCTGAGGAGCAAATGGCTCCTGCTGAGCTGAAAGCAATAGGATATGTGACAGGCGGCCCCTTAAGGGATGCTTTCTGCAGATGAATACGGTTCTACCGAGTCCCCTGCTGCAGTCCTTCTTCCTTTGCACTCTCCCCAGTCATTGACAAAGGACAAATCCCTGTCTGTCAATGGCAGGATGAGATCACAGGTCAAGAGATGCTGCAGCAGGGGACTCTGGCACTCAAGCTTCTACTTGTTGCTCTATCCCAAAGCAATCTGCCCTGAGCTGCTAAGCCAGAGTTAAATGCTCATGAGCAAGGCTGAAAGAGAAGCTGGGCATAAAACTGAGAAAGGAGATCAAGCAAAGCACCGACAAGAAACAAGCCAAGATAACCGGTTGGTCCAGCAAGACTTTTATATCGATTGGGCATCTAAATATAGGCAAGGAGAACCAATCCTGGATCTCACCGTAAAGCTGGATGAAGGTCTGATACCAGGGGGGAAAAGGCATTCTACACTTTCCCTAGGAGGGCCACCGTAGCTCTGAGGGATATACAGCTCTCGTGTATCTGCTATGAATGTACACTCCTATGCATCCCATAGAGGACACTTACGGAAGCTTACGCCAGAACAAATTGTGCTTGACATTTGTTACAACGGACTAACACAGCTACTTCTGTAGAACACCTGTTCCAAAAGCATCAGGTGTTTCAGTCCAAGGCCCCCACCAGGTTTCACACTAAGAGCTTAACTAGAGTCCACGATCACCTGAGATTTCATTTCATTTAAAAGCAGACACAGTCCCTGTAGGGGCAGGGATCCAAATCCAATCTGAATGGCCAGTATACTGCTGGGACAGATAGGGGTAACCCTTTTCCAGCATGCCATTTCCCAAATAGAAATCCCACACACACACACACACACCATAAAAGTGATTACTAGTTCTAGTACAGAGGGAAAGGTAGGTTGCTGGTCTTCTCCCCCTACTGGGGCTAATACCTGACAGAAGGCATTCCTATCCAAGAAATGCAGCAGGAGAAAAAAGATTAACGCAGACACATCCTGCTTGCTGAGTCAGCTTTTCATGAGTTGATTCTTTTAGATCCCTTGTGTGTATTTTTTTAAATTTATTTAGATACATATGCCCTGCTTTTCTCCCCAATGGGGACCCAGAGTCACATCATTCTCCCATCCTCCATTTTATTCTCACAACCACCACACCATGTGAGAGCTTGTGCTGAGAGAGAGAGTAACTAGCTTAAGGTTACCCAGGGAGATTTCATGGCATGGTCAGGTTTTGAACCTGGGTCTCCAGGATCCTAGACCAGGACTCTAACCACTACGCTGCAATGGTTGTTTGGATAATGCACTGCCAGTCTTGATTGACACCACTTCAGGGAGATTAAGCAATCTGTTCTTTCCTTTGTAGAGGTTTGGTGTAACCCAAGTTTCACAAAATCCTGTTCTGAGCAGATAATAAGACTGAGTCCTAACAGTGTCACAAACGAAAGGTGATAGGGAGAAATCCCAGTGCCTTTTTTTGCTCGGCAAAAGCCACCGAGGTGGCAGGCTACCAATGTTGTGCTCAGCATTCGTGGCGGCAACCAACAACATCTTGCCAGTAGATGGCATCCTTCAACAAGGAAAAGCAACAGCAGCAATAAACTAAGCAACTGCGATGATGGCAGCTATGAATATGCTTTGGTCTCTGTGTGTAAAGCATCGTCAAGTCGCAGCTGTGTTATGGTGACCCCAGCAAAGGGCTTTCAAGGCAAGTGAGAAGCAGAGGTGGTTTGCCATGGCCTCCCTCTACAGTCTTCCTTGGTGGTCTCTTATCCAAGTACAGACCCAGCCTAGCTTCCAAGATCGGATGAGATCAGCCTATACCATGCCACCTTCCCTCCCATGCTCTGGTTTGGCCGGTGACATTTTTCACTTAGGATACATCTACTCAGATATTCTAAATCAGTTTCAACGTGCATTTAATGCACTTCTGGATATGTCATTAAACTCTTCTGTAGACAGCAGACACAAATCAGCCGAGCCTGGAATCCAGAACATTCCACTGTAGGTCTGGAAGCCATCCCTCAGTGTTAAAGGCTGGGTTTCCAATGAGTGTTGGCATGATATAAAGACACTGTTGTATCATGCTGACATAAAGCCTACATGCCATGTGGCCTACAATTTTGCTTCTAATTAACAATAATTATGTGCCATCAAGTCGCAACCAACTCACGGCAACCCTTCATGGGGTTTTCAAGGGAAGAGATTAGTAGAGGTGGTTTGCCACTGCCCGTCTCTGTGTAGCAAGCCTGCACTGTGACTTCCTTGATGGTATCCCATCCAAGCACTAATTAGGCCTGACCCTGCTTAGCTTCTGAGCTCTGACAACCTCAGGCTAATCTGGGCCATTCAGGCTGTCAAAATTGCTTCTCAAGAGTCATTAATAATCACAAAATTGTGTTATGTTTCTGGTACAATTTGGGCCTCTGGAACCGATTCCTTAATGGGCAGAGAACGTATGGTGGGATCCCAGATGGAAAATGTCAGTTCCCCAAACTAATTCCAGGGTGGAAGTGGATGATACTGCCACTCCCTTGTCTGAATGTGTACAGTTACTGTGGTACCAATTTCCTTTCATGTCTCTTGCAGCTCATACCACAAAACGGGATCCCATCCAATAGTAACAGCATCAGGAATGTAGTCAACACAACGTGATTTCTGTCTTCGTGTCAAGGAAAATATTATCTGGACATTTTAGGAAGTTGCTATATGAGCTTTTCTGCATGCTCAACTCATTCCTCATTTTCTTGGCAGTCAAGCCACAAACACTGCCATCTGTTTGGGCAGGGTTCTCCAAAACGTCTACCCTCCCTCTCTATGGTCACAGTTGTGGTCAGTTTATTTTCTTCTGCACTTGGCTTAAATAATGAGGATTTTCAAAAGAGGGTGGCTGTCATCATTGTTGGTGTCACGGCACCCCCCCTTTCTAAAAAAAGAGCCCCTAAAACATTGATGTATTGATATAGTATTGTATTAAAGCAGGTTGTCTGAATTCCCAGCTTGCTTTCTTTAAAAAAGCAAGTCTCTCTCTCCTTCCCTTGCAAAGAGATGCCTTTTCCCTTATATCTCCTAAAGGAACCACACTAGAGACATTTTTTATCTGATGGAAGTTGGGAATTCAGAGAACCTGCTTAAACTATCACTATAACATGATAGTGACATATCAGTATTTTGGGGGCTTTTAAAAAAAACTCATCTTCAGGGTGGGGGGAGAGGGAGTGGTTCAATGATGATGATGGTCCAGTTATCAAAAAGTGGACAGCAGGGGGGTGGGAGTGGGTGGGACAATGAAAACAGACACAAACATTATGCACAAGGAAAAAATGACACCAAAAAACGGCTTCCAGAAAAAGAGCGGGGTAAAGAACGCTTTCAAAAGAACTGGGGGGAAACCGAAAGGGAGAGCAAAAACTAAAGGCCCAAACATGCGTGTGGAAATCCAGGGATAAGCCAAAGCAGTATGGGGCCAGAAGTGATGAGAAAAAATCATGCTGAAAAGCCCTATGGACGCTTATGATGTTTCCAATTTACTACAGAGGTAAATGAACTGCACAAGAATCCAGTGTACATCGTTGCTACCTTGCTGCTTTTACCTTGCAGTTTCCTTCCATTCTGCATCTTCACCCTCTTTAATACAGATTTCATCCATTTCTGTGAACAAATCATGGGGAACGTGCTCCTCATCCTCCTCCATTCCGAGGATAAACTGAACTCGCTGAGATGGGGTATCTAAGAAAAGCAGAGCAAAGCATTTTAAAAGAGGGGGGAGTCCTGGCGACATGAAGAATGGCTTTTTAAAATACCCTGCAAAAGCACTGGAAGTCCTGTGATGTTTTTAGACACGGAACAAACCTGAAGGAGCGGCTTTCCACCATAGGAAACCAAGGATAATATAATGAGACCACAGATAATGAAGGTGAACTAAGATAGCAACTTTCCTGCAGGCTTGTGCTATTTAATTGGGGAGGGGAGGAAACAGATGCATAAAGAGAGAAGACCCAGAGTGGAAATAACAACAAAAAGAATGGCAAATGTTGACACTAGTTTGCATAACATTCTGTTCTTCGGACTGAACCATGTATGCGATTCATTAAGGTCAAAACAGATTAGAAACTGGAATAGCCCTGACTGGATCTTCCCAGTTAAATTTCCGTTGCACAGGGACCATGTTGAAGTCATGGTTGACCAGGCAGGGCACAGGAGTTTAATCCTTCTAACCACCCCCTCCCCACAAATACATTCACATTGAAGAAAAAAGCAGGCAGAAAAATGCCTATTTTTTCCCTCCATCTAAGGCTAACAGCGGCACTGATGGTGATTTAGAATTCCGGAAGGTGAATCCATACGGGGTTGGAAGGATTAGGCTTCCCCTCCCAGCATCACTGGGCTGGGTTCACACAGTGCTCCACACAGATGCTATTAAGCTTTAAAAGATGCTGATAAGATCCAGTCATGAATCTCCCACGGCCCCATCTGCTTTGACCATAATTGTATACTAGGCTGTTTGCCTGAGCAGGTCATAAGTCTCTGTACAACTCTGCATGTCTCAGGGTCAAAACTGCACATCAGTTAGAAGAGATACAATAGGATTCTTGATGAGCAGGCCATGGCCACAGTGTGGGGATTGGGGAGGAAAGGGTAAACCCTCTCCCATGCACCATTTCCCCAGCTCCTTATCTCAGAACTGCTATTAGCCCCAAGTAAGGGGAGAAAGGACAGAGGTGCCAGTACCTTTTCCCCACTAGTGCAAACAGTAGCTGCAGGGTCAGTGATACTGACTGAGAGAACAGCAGGGGGGGGGGCATTAAATCCCAGCACAGCAGCACCTTGAATCCCCCTTTCCCTTCCTTTGGGGCTGCTGTTGGGAAAGCACAATTCACACATGTCCATAGTTTGACTCTCCACTGATTAACGAATTAATGTGCTTTGCTTCCACACAATTTAGTGATTTAGTGACTGACCTTCATCCTGGTCCAGGGAAGCTAGAGAATTTGCCCCAGCCCAAGATACAAAAGCTGAACATTGAGGTGAGCAAGAAAGAAGAACAAAGCACTGCCACCACCCTATTAGCTCACTAGCTGTCTTCATTCCCCATAGCAAGAAGGAACAAATGGTGGAGTCCGCTTCACGTCACAGAATGGTAAAGGAGCAGCAACATCAGGCATGTCCAGCCATCAGTTGTGGATCCTTAGAAAAGACTCTTAGCAGGTTGTTAAGGAATGAGATTGATATTTGCTTTATGGACTTATATTTGCTGCTACACAAACAATGGACTGTGCACACACACACACATAGGCTCAGAAAGCTGTTCTAGTCACCTGTCGCGATACTACACATAGAAGGTGCCTGCACAAGCCTTACATGTTAATAAGGTTTCAGCTACACAGCCTGGTGAGAAAGCACACATCTCCATTACTGTCAGCGAAACAACAACTTGAGAAGAAGCAGCCCCCATTGCTGAATTGTTGACAGTCACGTATAACACTTCTCTGCTTTATATCTACATTGGCATTTCCTGTCAGAAGGACCTTTTATGACCAGAGGAAGGACCAAGCTTCATCTGCACTTCAAGGGAACACCCTGACACCGAGTTTTCACACTTGCCCAGATGCCATCCTTTGAGTTAGGTCTTAGGTTACAATATTGTCCAAACCTTTAGGTAGCCACCCCTCACTACACGCAACCAATAGGATTAGTTATGGGACGGACTAACAGGTAGGTGGGTCCAGAGGTTGGCACAGTTGCCACCCACCCAAAAGACCACATACAAAAGGTACGGACCATTCGCCTGGCCCTTCCTAGCTAGCAACCCCCGCAACGACCCCTATCTGCTTTATACTCCTCTTTTGTCCAGCTTACTATACCCAAACCCTTGCCTCTACTTGATATCTTGATCTGCAGTCAAGAGACCCACACGTGCTGGCTGGTTCTAGCTGTGTGTTAAATTCCCTAGAGTTTATTTCTTTCCCTCCATTCTTCATTGGAACGAACAAGCTTCAGGACAGATAAGTATCACCCACCATCACCCTACCTGCTAATGCAAACGTGCTCATTTTAATACTGTATTTCTAAGGAACTTGATTGAATGTGTGAGCGCATCAGTATTGTTTGTATGTGATTTATATTCTTAAGTAAAAGACGGTTATTTTAACTACACCAGCCTCGACTCCCTCTCTGGTAACCCTTTGGTGGGAACTGGACCTTGGTATAGTTGGCAAGCACCCAGATTAAAATTTGCCAATTGCTGTAGATAAAGCACTTTGGCTAACAAGGTACCCAGTGACATCAGCCTTCAGTGCTTGTATCCCTGCTTCCCCAATGCCAACTCCTACCAGTCTGTTCAAAGTCTGAACACATAGAGACTGGAGGAGAGCTTCTGACTCTCTTCCAATATCTCCAAGCTGATATCTCGGGTGAGCACTGATCTACTTTGTCACACCTGTTTAAAGTATGCCAGGTGGCCATGCTGAGAAATCCTCAATGAGAGTCCCTAGAGAATGACATGGTTATTGTTGAGATGGTATAAGGCCAATTGTACACATCACACTCCCATAAGAGCAACATGCACTGCATACATACCGTGAGACTCATTTTCTTCTTGGATGGATTCCTTTGCCCGCTCTCGTACCCTGTGTTTCCTGCCATGAGTTCTGTGATGTCTGTGGCCCTGTCTTACCAAAGGCATCCGCACCCCAACATACAATGTCCTGTGTCCTGGGGAAAAAGCAGACATATATTGCTTTGCTGGCTCTGTAGCAGAGAATTCCATCATTCAGCAACGCTCCCTCTTGACATACAACACAGCACATCCCTGTTCAGCCACAATGCACCCCCCAAACTGGCCACAGCTGACTCTTCAGCACCAATTACTCTTTGTCCTAACAGGCTAAAAATACAAAAGGTAGAATGCTTATTCTCCCAGACATGGGATAGACTTTGTTATCTTTGTGTGTATGTGTTTTTAGGAGTTCTCTTATTGTCTCTATGCTGCTATCTTTCTTTGGTTATAATTGATTTATGGGTTTTAGAAGTGAGCCTTAGATACCATTGATGCTTTCTGATTTTAAGGTTCACCTGCTGCTGTTTTCATTTGCTCTCCGATTTGTGCCAGGTTTTGATTAGATGTTGCAGGTATTTTATAGTGGGGTTTTTTTTAATAGGACTCATTGCTTTAATTGCATGGTCTGCTTTAATTCACTGTAAACTGCCTCAAAAATAAAAACCCTTTACCATTGCCACCATTGGATACTTATACAGCTACCTCAGTTTTCCTTCTGGAAAATAAGGCATCTCCTTCTGACTCTTGTTCAAACGAACACCATTAGCTGTCCATCTGAGAACAAGAAGGGACTACAGCAACATGGCTGCAAAATTGCTTCTTGGCAGCCAATGTTCAAACCATCTGCTGTTCTGTACCAAGAGGAAAATAACAACACAGCACTCTAAGCACCACTCTGCTGGGTCTCCAGTGTGCTCTAGCTTTAAGCTATGATGACATGGCCAGGATCTCATACTGGAATGAAAGTCTGGTGAAAGTTCTCTAGAATCAGTGGGGTAATCAACTGCACATTGCAGGTAATCACATTGTTCTAGGGCATCAATAGGTAGGGGTGGTCTGGGATTTTCAGGGTCACCGTGCAAGTAGGACAAAGGCTCCTGGTAAATCAACCCAAGATGTGTAAGATAGGAGATGTGTAGTGGGAATTTTGTATCTCCCAAATATACACCATCCTTTCACAGCCTACAAAATAGCAGCTCCATGAGAACCATAAAGTAAAACGAAAGAGTTTCCATCGATTCCTACAACTACCCAATGTCACTTCTGGGTTGTACTCAGAAGTGACACACCCGCAGAGAGGATGCTGCCCCCCCCCTCCAGCAGCAATTGGCAGAATGCCTCCTGACACAGTTTAAGGCCTAGCAATCTGGCCTTCAGCAGCTGAATTACCTGCTTCACAAAGCCAGTCAACTCTCACTTCCACCATGCTCAGCTTCCCGCAGGCCATGCTTCAGAAATATACCTAATATTTATGCCGATTATTTTTGTAACTTCGAAAAGAAGAAGAAGAGTTGGATTTATACCCCACCCTTCACTCGGAATCTCAGAGCGGCTTACAGTCTCCTTCCCTTCTTCTCCCCGCAACAGGCACCTTGTGAGGCAGGTGGGGCTGAGAGAGCTCTGAAAGAACGGCTCTTGAGAGAAAAGCTCTGAGAGAACTGTGACTGGCCCAAGGTCACCCAGCTGGCTGCATGTGGAGGAGTGGAGGGTCAAACCTGGTTCTCCAGATTAGAGTCCGCTGCCCTTAACCACTACACCAAAAAGGGGATTTTGGCCATGAAATATAGTAGCTAGTAAATGTAAATAACAGTCTTTGTCACATGTATCTGTATAATATAAAATGAATACACAACTAAGGTAGGGTTGCCAAGTCGTCTTCGAGCCCCAGTGTGGGACGCATGTCCAGCGTACGGAGTGCACACATGTCACCCGGAAGTGACGTGACGGCGCCGGGCACACTGGGGGCGGGGCCACGACCATCCACCCGGCAGCGTCACGTCACTTCCGGGTGACGTGCACGTCGGGGTGGGGTTCCCCCCGGGGCCCAATCCGCCAGCGGCAGGGAACTGGCCTCTGGGGCGGGGATTTCCCCGCCCCCCAGGGGGACTTGGCAAGCCTAAACTAAGGAGGAGAGGAATCAAGAAGCTTTTCGACAAAACGGAAGATATAGCTGTTCTTCAGGAAAGCTGAAAAGAGTTTTTTCTTTAAAAATGGTAAATTCAAAATAAATAACAAGATTAGGTCAATTTTATTTAGTACATTACGGCTCATATTTCTTTATTTAGATATTTATAACCAACTTTTAACCCCCATGGGGAACCCAAAGCAGCTTACAATCCTTGTAACAACTACTTTGTAAGGTAGGTCAGGTTGAGAGAAAGTGACCAGTGACCAGCCCAAAGTCACCCAGCAACCTTCCATAGCTGAGTGGGGATTCAAAATCAGGCTGGACTGACACCACAATGGCTTTAAGATAATTTTTGTACACCATTATTCAATTTTAAGATGTTTATTGAAATACCTGATAAACTCCCCTTCTGTGCATCTAAATGAATTTCCAAAGTGGCTTTTCCAGGCACAGTCAATGTACTTTCATTTCACTAGCATTTGCCCTTTCACTGTGCCACTTCCAAATCCTTTTTGAAGTTGATGTGCGGACATATTCAAGCTAGAAGGCTTTATACATTAAATTATTGAGAGGGAAATCTGCTGCTCTAAAAGGTTCTTCAGTCTCTCTCACTTTTCCAAATTCTTCCATGGTTGGACAAATAATGATTGTGCAAAGAACAGAGTTTATCACTCAAAATTCTGGAAAATGTAGCTTTTTGAGTTGCTGGCTGCTTTTTTTTTTGTCTCTTCTAACAGTCTCATTTCCAAAAATATTGCAGTTATTTCTTATTTTGGTGCTCCACACTTCCATAAAATATAGATCTCACAAGTTATTCAATTCTAAAAGGATAATCTAGTATTTTTGCAATTTGCCAATTCCTAGCTTCCTGGAACTTCAAATCCTGTCTAACTTTAACAGGAAATGTCATTTAAAGTAAAAAAAAATTAAAACTCTTATCTTTGAAATCTCACATCTTAAAAAAAGAGGAAGGGGGGGCTTCTTGAAATGTGCAAAATTTGAGTCAGGTAGCATTTTAAAGACCAACAAAATTCTAGAGCATACGTTTTCATGATTCTGACTTTGTCAGATACAAACAGTCCATCAACTCTAATATCCAGGTCAGAAGATGGGAAGGCTGTTAAAAAAAGAAGAACCAACTGGAGTCAGGGTGCAGAAGTGCAATGCGAAATGTAATCAGATTAATTACAGCTAGGAGATATGCACCGTGATGGGAAATGCAGAAAATTAGCATCTGTAATGAGCTAAGGCTTTTGTGTCCCTAATCAGCCCTGGGAGTCCACTTTCCTGACCTTGGCCCCGGTCACACGGCAAAGTTGCCACGGGAGAGGCACGGATGGTGGGCGGATTATCCGGGCATGATCACACCCCAACATCTGGGAAGTGGCGCACACCCATGGCTTACTGCCGAAAATGCGCGTTAAAAAAGTAGTACCTCCAAAGCAGTGTTCCCTCTAAGCTGAGTTAGCGTGAGCTAGCTCACCGTTTTTTAGCCTCCGGCTCACACATTCTTGTCTTCGCTCAGGAAGGAGGGTTCCAGAGCAAACTGATTTATGCAGTAGCCAAATCGCTCGCTCACAACTTTAATGCCAGTAGCTCACCAAGTAGAATTTTTGCTCACAGGACTCCACAGCTTAGAGGGAACATTGCTCCAAAGTACTAGTAAACGTTTGCCATGGCTGCCTCCAGACTCCCGTGGTGTGATCGCACCGGCACGCGGCATTCCCCTCCAGTCCCTCGTTTACCCGCCAGCACCGAGGGAAGGACCCGTGGTGTGCTGCGGCACGTCTGATTGCGTAATCGCAGATCAAACTGCGCTGGGGCAATTAGCCACACCTCCCCCCCCACGATATCCGGCCCGTATGACCGGGGCCCTTGTTAAAGAATTCTAGCACAACAATCTTATGCTGTAATCTCCCTTTGAAGCTTCTCTATAAGAAAACTGCCACTCTTAGATCAGTGATGGAATGTCCTGGATGATTAACACGTTCTCCCACTGGTTTCTGAGTACTGTGACTGAATGTTCATTTATTCTTTTGCATAGCCACTGGCCTGTTAGTTCAATGTACAGAGAAGAAGAGCACTGTTGACATTTGATAGCATATATAACACTGGAAGATCCTGGTATCCTTATGGACCACCTTTCAGGGTTGGGCCTGAGAGGCACCATTTTGTGGTGGTTTCGGACCTGCCTTCAAGGTAGATTTCAGACTGTGATACTGGGAGACTAATGCTCTGTCTCTTGGCCTCTGGTCTACAGGGTTCCACAAGGTCCCATCTTGTCCACGGTGCTTTTTAACTTCTACATGACAATGTTGGGAGACATCATCCTAAAGACTGTCTGGAAGCTATGGTTGGTACAAAATGCCGCAGCCAGAATGTTGGCGGGAGTAGGTTGCAGGGACCGTTATCACTCCAGTCCTGTTCCATCTACGTAGACTCCCTATTTGCTTCCAGGCCCCATTCAAGGTGCTGATACTGACCTTTAAAGTCCTATATGGCCTGTGGCCAGCATACCTGAAAGACCACCAACTCCCATATGAACCTACCCAACCGCTCTGGTCATCTCTGGAGGCCCTGTTTGGGTGCCCTTGCCATCTGGAACTAGATAGGTGGCAACCTGAGAAAGGGCCTTCTCAGAAATGGTGCAGAAACTTTGGAATTCCCACCCCAAGGAGATTCATCAGTCTCCCTCTACCATTGTCTTCCGCCAGTAGGTGAAGACTTGTCTTCTTTGGCATTCCCTCATTAACTCTTAATAGCTCTTGTGTGCCTCTGTGTTTATGTGTTTTTTAAGTTTTATTTGTTTAAAATACTTTAAATTTTGTATTTTAAATGCCGTTTTAATGTTTGAAATGTTCACTGCCTGAGGGACCCTCACTTGGGTTGAAATGCAGCCAATAATTGTTTTAAATAAATTAATAAAATAAAGACGGACCTGAGATGGTATGGCTGGTATTGTTAGGTCTAGTGACTGTGCTGTTAGAGTATGTATGGGGACAAAGTTAGTATCCTGGTTTATTGCAGGCCCTGATCCTAGCGTCCATGCCCACGTTAGGTACTGTGTTATTGTGAGAAACCGTCTGAGGTTAGGTGACTGTCTGTGAGCTAGAAAAGGACTGCCTCCCAATGCCTGTGAGAGAGGAATATCATTATCCAGCATAGGTTGTAGGTCATTAATGACGCGCTGAACCTGTATGAGCTGTGAGTTGTAAGTGACCACCAGTGGTGTTCTCTTGTTGTTTTGTTTGGGCCTATCTTGCTGCAGATTATCCTAGGTATCATTCTGGTTCTTGTCAATCTGTTTCCTGACTATATCAGGTGGGTACCATAATTCCAAAAATGTCTGTTTGTAAATCCCTCAGGTAAGAAGCTCTGTCAGAGGGACTGGAACAGATGTGCCTGTAGCATAAGAGCTTGGCTATAGAAAAGGGATTACCTGGTGTGTTTAGGATGGTAACTGGAGGCATGTTAATATGTTTGGTGATCAGGGATTCAGCCCTGACACTTAAAACAGGTTCCAGTTTCACATGTTTGAGGTCTTCATCCTGTGGTTTTTATTTCTATAAAATTGGGAGGATTGTGACATTTTTGCTGCTCTGCTCTTTATTACTAATTTAAGTAAATTGGGTCAGACTGGCTCCAGAAACAGAGAATGAAAAGAACAAAGCAGAGGAAGGAGCTACAAAGAACATTTTTCACCAAGATGGGCTTCCTCTTGAGGATGACTTCCCCTCGGTACAAAAGGAATTATTTATAGCAATGGATGCCCTGCTTGCTTTGCATGGGATTTGATAAAGACTTAGAAGCACATGAGAGGCACCATTGATCTCAGAATCCTACTGGGAAGATTACTGCTAAAAGCGACCTTGAGGATCAGTGCTGGGCCGGAGTCCATGTCAGAAATTTATACATCAATCAATCAGTAAATAAATCTACCTTTTTTCTAGATAGTTCTCCAGTGATGAAGCTGCAAATACTCATATCAACTTGTGCAGTGACAGTAAATTTAAAATTTGGCCTTTTCACTTTCAATGCCTCCCCCAATAGTGTGACTGAAACCAAGTTTACGTCACTGTAGAGTTCATGTTCTCATTCTCATACACACACCTTTTAAAAAGCTAGCATGCTATGGCAGTTAGTCTCGGTCTAAGGTCTGAAGACCCAGGTTCAAATCCCATGCATGGAAGCTCACTGGGTGACCTTGGGCCAGTCACACACTCTAACCTACCTCACAGAGCTACTGTGAGGATAAAATGGAGGAGAACGGAACTGTTACGAGCTGTTTACACATTATATTTCAGGGAGAAAACTCAACCCAGTACAAGTCGTCAGTTCTCCTACCCTACCCATTCACTACAGGGAAAAAGAAAGAAGTAAATTGAGTAGCAACTAATTTTTTTTTCTTTTAATCCCAGGATCTCCATTATATACCCTTTGTGTTGAACAAGTGCTACAGGGTGAAGGCACAAATATCCAGGGAGCAACAGCAACATCTGTTGAACTTTCTAAAAGAAGCCACCTCTTAGCAGTACCAGGAGAATGTATTCTTAGCTCTCCAAGCACAATTTCAGAATTCTCTGCTTATGCCAAACGACCATATGAGCAGAATCTACTCATAGCCAGTTTGGTGTAGTGGTTAAGTGCGCAGACTCTAATCTGGGAGAACCGGGTTTGATTCCCCACTCCTCCACTTGCACCTGGCTGGATGACCTTGGGCAAGCCGCAGTTCTGATAAGAGCTGTTCTTGAAAAAAGAGCAGTTTCTGTCAGAGCTCTCTCAGCCCCACCTACCTCACAGGGTGTCTGTTGTGGGGAGGGGAAGGGGAAGGAGTCTGTAAGTCGCTCTGAGACTCCTTTGGGTAGTGAAGGGCGGGGTATAAATCCAATCTCTTCCTCTTCTTCTTCTTCATATGAGCAGTGTAATATCAGAATAGTGAATGCTCAGTGAACGCTCAGGGTTACTACAAGGATAAAATGGGACAGGCCGTCATGTCAGCTTGATCTGATTGTAAGTGTTATGGTTCTTGTGGGGGGGTTTTGTGCAAGCTGTCTAGAACTGACTTTTTATGAAACAACAGACAGAAGGTATAAAGTTACACATAAAGTTCTCCCAACAACTTCCTGTGACTTCCCAGGAAGGTTCAAAGATTCTGGATTGAAGAGTCTCTGTTCAGACATTACACACAAACCTGGGTTTCCTTGTGAGAAGCACTGCAGCAGCAGCAGAAGAGTTGGTTTTTATTCCCCTCCTTCATTACCCAAAGGCATCTCAGAGCAGCTTACCATCACCTTCTCTTCCTCTCAGACACCCTGTGAGGCAGGTGGGGCTGAGAGAGCTCTGAGAGAACTGTGACTGACCCAAGGTCACGCAGCTGGCTGCATGTGGAGACGTGAGGAATCAAACCCAGTTCTCCAGATTCTCCGCTTTTAACCACTACACCAAACTGGCTCTCCAGCACAAACCTGATATATGTTCAGGTTTGCCCCCCCCCATCCCTGCACCAACTATGCCAAGTGCAAAGAATACCTGATTTAGGTTTCATAAATCTACAAAACTTTGGCCACACCTTTCCTTCTTCTACCTCAACCACTTATTTAGATCAAAACATATACAAACAGTCAAGCATATTAATTTGCTGGGCTTGAAATAAAGTGCCCAACTTCCAAATTTTGAATGCAAAATTCAAGTTTTCTTAGCAAATAATTTGGGTATTTTATGTTGCACAGAATATGAGCACCCCTAGCTAAGTAATGCCCAGAATACCCTTCATGGCATCTGGAACCATCTCCAACAGAAGTTTACGTCAGTTCTCAAGTAATTAATGATGATGAATGGCCTGCTAGGAAAACGCAGACAGAGGAAGAAACCAACAGCAAGAAACTGTCTCACCTTCCAGCTCTTCTGGCTCATAATGAATATTGACAACATTGCTGGTGCCTCCTTGATCCACAATAGCTTCATCTTCAGGTCTCTGTTAGAAAAATCAATAGGGTACATTTGACTGGTATGGTCTCCCACCATTTATCTGCACCTAGAACCAGATTAAACAACATGAGGAGTCTATGTAGAATTATGTTCCGAGGATTTACATGCCCCCGGCCCTAAAAAAACGCCCTCTCATCTATTGAACTTTCATGCCCAAAATGAAGACATTAACATACCTAAAATGCTTGTATACACACAACTGTGTTCAGTTTCTATCCTGGCCTACCCCTGTTATCTTTGAAATCAGTGCTCTATAGATTTTAGTATTCTCTAACATCAGGGTGTAATTTAAGAATCTCTGCCCTGGAAATATGGGGTTGGATCAGTATCATGTTTGGCTCAATCTTGCCCAAATCTCCTCTTACTTATAAATCCCCCCTCCAAAATCCTACACTTCAACCCATTGTCTCAAATAAGCATGAACTGATCTCATATCTGTTGCCATTATCATGTTGGGAAGAGGTTGCATTGATAATGAATTAGTAGAAAAATCAGCATCACCATCAGAAAGGACTGCGGGGGGGGGGGATTCACATGTTTCATTTCAATTCCTACTGGCTTGGGCAAGTCTGACTTTGCTGAGCTATGCCTCTTGCTTGAAAAGTTGCATCCACAGTAACAATACCTAGACATGTTTCTGGCTGAAATAAGAACACGGCGCTATTCACTCTAGAGTTCAGTGGAAGTTAATCGATTTTAATTGCATCCTTTGTTTGAACAGAAAGCTGAGATTCTAAAAAACCCCACCATGAACAGCTTGGCAACTGATCACCTTTTCCACTCCACTTCCCATGATAAAGAACACTGTTTGAGACTCTCAGCCCTATGAGTCATGGTAATCATCAAACTGCACAAAAGGGATACAGGTGAATAAATAGAAACACTGAATGCGGAGACACTGTGACCAAGAGAATCTTTACCTAACCACCTTAGGCTTCTTAAGATTCCACTCTAAAGAATACTTCACAGCTCACTTAAAATAAAACCTAAAGGTCTTCCAAATTATAAATGCCAAGTCTTGCATTGTGGAGGATTAATCAAACTGTCTTGCATTTAATTCTTAGCAGTCGTAGACATACTATTCGTACGCACATCCCTTTTCCTTCTGAACAGAGAGACAGCACATTCTGGTATAGTTAAATATGAATGGTTTGTCACATTCAACTATCCAGACAAGGCTGATGTATAATTATATGGGACCAGTATCACTGATCCTGATGTCATTTTAAGAAATCCTAAAGCAAAGGGGAACCGGTGTTATTCCTTTACACAGTTTCTAAGGCGAAGGGGGATTCAGGAAGATCTCTCTCAGGTACAAGGTTGCTGGTCCCCAAACACAGAGCGTTACTTTCCCATCCCTCGCAGCTTTCCATTGAAATAGTTCCTGTCCATACTAAGCAAAGCTGTTCAGCAGCAGCAGAACAAAAGCCAGACTCACAGAGAGGTGAAGCATTATTATGACAAACAGAACAGTCCTTTTTGCCTGAAGGACTTGCAATCCAAATGTAAAGTGGGGGGAGGGCAAATCTAAAATTCAAAATATGCACAAATCCCTATTTTCAAGTCCTAAAGAAAATTAAGACTATCAAAGCTTTGCTGTGAGAACTGAGAAACTGTCATGGACACTGTCCTTTCATGGATGCTGGTTAGGAAAGGGGATTATTTCTCTCTGATCAAAGCCATGGAAACTGGATGTGTTGCAGACTTGAGACACTAACTATAGCCTGATAAAGCCCCTCCTGGTATAAGCCAGTATAACTCCCACCACCACTACCCTTCACGCCTCTGTTTCATCTATTAAATTCTTAATAGTGTTGGAAAAGGCAATGTCTGATATACAAAGAGAAGATGACCCTGTAGGGTACAGCAAGAAGACAATTAGTTAGGATACTGAGGTCAGCACCTTCTCTCCTGTTAAGTGTCATTCCTTGTCTATTTCCAGATGGCTACTCTCAGGGAAATTTCCCCCTTCTTCTCAGAAGTGCCACACTCAGTTTTACCCTCTCTCTCAGCTAGAGATGTAGGGCGATTCTGCAATGGCTTTACCGTCCGCTTTTTAGCAAACCCATGTTGCAACAGAAACTCCCTTCTGCATTGCATGCTGCTTTCACTTTCTTTGAACATCGGATTTTATTGTACCTTCTGCATAGATTTATGGCTGTTTTATGACTGTTTAGGAGTGACTTTGCAGTCTGTATAGCATTGGCCCAGGGTTTCTGAATGTGGTTTTGAGCTGCACCTTTTCCTCAGTGCTGAGAAAATGTGGAGCGAATGCCAGATGCAGAACTAGTCATAGTTAGGAACCTACCTCTGTTGCTCCTCTTTCCTATCAAGTATGGTAATTCCTAAATAAATCTTTAAAGGTAAAGGTTTCCCTTGCTCGAAAGCTAGTCGAATCCAAATCTAGGGGGCTGTACTCATCTCCATTTCCAAGCCGAAGAGCCAGTGCTGCCTTTATCTGCTCTTTAATCAGATTGTGCACCATTACTGTGTTAATCACTCTGCCATCAACTAGTACTTCAAGGAGAAGACACTTCACTAATAGCAACCACCATCAACCACAGCAATTTCTTCCCTCTTCCCTCCACTGTGCAAATTAATTTTTCACAGCCCTGCTGGAAGCAAAAATTTTCCCGAGGAAAGCCAGAAGGTGTTTTTCCCCCCCCTCCACCAACAATAAGCTCCAGCCAAATTACAAGATCCACACACACACCCCGCAAAAAGGAGCTGCAGCCAACAATCTATCTATACACAAGTTTAGACAGGGTTTCTAACAAAGCTGGATGGGGGTGGGGAGATTTTGGCAGATCCTCTGGTGGTGACAAGCTTTGCTGAGCCTGACTAACACTGTCTATGTGTCTGCATGACTCTGCTCAGGACAGCACTACTGGAATATTAATACCAATAATGAACACATGAAACGGCCTTCTGCTGAGTCAGGCCACTGGTCTATCAGGGTCAGTACTGTCTACTCTGACTGTGGCTTTCAAGGGTATCAGGTAGAGGTCTTTGACATCAAATACTACCTGATGCTATTAACTGGAGGTGCCAAGGATTGAACCTGGGACCTTCAGCATGCCCAGCAGATAGATGCTCTACCACTGAGCCACAGACCCTCCTCCAGTAAATGAAGCACCCACATCAGGCATCCCCAATGGGGTGCCCATGGGCACCATGCGCCCACTGATACCTTTCCTGATGTCCACCTAGTGTTTTTAGAAAGTGGGCGGGGCCAGGTTGGGCTTTTCTGATGAGTCTCAAGAAGGGGCACTGAGACAAGCTTCTCCAAAACAGCTGGATGTTGAGCTCATTTTCACTGGTGTCATTAGAATACCTGTTAACAGCAGAGATAATAAAAAGAAAACAAAGCCCTTGCCTTTAAGGATCAAAATGTTGAAGAAGCCTCCAACAAACAATTTATATACAATGCAATCCTAAACAGATTTAAACCCTTCTAGCTCCATGGAAGTTAATGGGCTTAGAAAGTCATTAGTCTGTTTAGGATTGTACTGTTATTAACTTACTTCATTTATACCCCACTTTCCTCCCCAATGGGGACCCAAAGTGGCTTACAATGTTCTCCCCCTTTCTATTTTAAATAAATATTTTATCCTCACAACAAAAAGAAATCGACCCTGACTGTTCCCTGGAAGGCCAGATAATGAAACTGAAGCTCAAATACTTTGGCCACCAAATGAGAAGGGAGCACTCACTGGAGAAGAAGACCCTGATGCTGGGAAAGACTGAAGGTCAAAGAAGACAGGGACGGCAAAGGATGAGATGGTTAGACAGTGTCATAGATGCAACGAACATGAAATTGAGCAAACTTCAGAGGACGGCGGAAGACAGGAGGGCCTGGCGGGAGCTGGTCCATGAGGTCGCGAAGAGTCGGACTCGACTGTGCGACTGAACAACAACAGGTTATGCTGAGAATGAGAGACTGGCCTAAAGTCACCTAGCAAGCTTCCATGGCAGAGTGGGGAATTGGACCTGGGTCTCCCAGATCATAGCCTGACTCTCTAACCTCTACATCCCGTTGGCTAGAAATGCAAATGATTAGAAAAATCAAAAATGTTGGTATGTGTAATAGTACTTTATATAAAGATGGTTCCCATGGAACCAACAGGGAACTGTCATCTGGATTAACCCTGGTTCCCATCGTTCAAGTCTACGCTACACATCTACAAGAAACTATAAGGTGCCACTTGTAGACTGAAGCAGCAGTACCGTCCACTTGTGGGGGCTATGGGGTGACAGAGAGCAGGGGGAGAGTTCTGAGCAGTGTTCCCTCTAAGCTGAGTTAGTGTGAGCTAGCTCACAGTTTTTTAGCCTCTGGCTCACACATTTTTGTCTTTGCTCAGGAAGGATGGCTCCAGAGCAGACTAATTTATGCAGCAGCCGAATTGCTCAGTCGCAGCTTTACTGCCAGTAGCTCACAAAGTAGAATTTTTGCTCACAACACTCCACAGCGTAGAGGGAGCACTGGTTCTGAGGCAACTGACTTCTGGACCCAGGCCCCTGACGATGGCCTCTCCTATAGATTGTTTTATACCCCAACCAACCACAATCAAATAAAGGGGAAACACAAGCCTTAAAATAAAGACTGGTAGCATGTAAGCGGTGTGCTCCCTAAAAGTCTCTTATATGAAAACCTTCTAGACTAAAGCTGTACTTCTATGTGCGGTAAACAGAGATTCCTGCTTCTTAGGTCTTTGACTTGACAGACAAAACACAGGTAGAGCTGAACAACAAAGGTTTATTTAACTGAAAATAAAGTATTCAATAAGGTAAATATGAGGTGTGGATAGCTAAGATACATAAAGGCCCCGGTCACATGAAAGGTTTTGGGTCGGGAGAGGGACGGATCGGGGGTGGAGCAAATGGGTGCGATCCCACTGCTACATCTGGGAAACGTTGCGCACCCGTCCCCGATCCGGCCCTTCAGGCCGAAAAGCCGCATCTAAAATAAACCACC